GATTCTGGGAATTGGGATCCCCATGGGCGGGGTTACGGTAACGGGGTGTGCATACCACTCCCAAACTCCGGACTCACTCCCGTTGAGTTGACACCGACTCATAGTGACCCTATAGGGCAGAATAGAACTGCCCCTGTGAGTTTCCAGGATTGTGACTGTTTTCAGGAGTGAAAGCCCTTCTCCTGAGGAGCCTTGGGTGGTTTTGAACCGGCCACCTGGCAGTCAGCAGCCCGCAGTGTAACCCGCTGCGCCACTAGGGCTTCTGGCACAAAGGAGAGGAGACTCTCACTCAAAGTCACATCCTTGCTCCTGGACACTTTAAACACAGATTTGCCCCAAGCAATGTGTCGTTGGATCTCCTGACTGCTGCCCCCAGGGGCACGGACTGTGGACCCAAGTAAAATCCACCCCTTAACAGCTGCAATCTTCTCTTCGTTGGTCACGAAGCTGCCGATGGGTCCCGTTGTGAGGATGTTGGTGTTCCTGACGTTGACACATCATCCACACCGATGGCTGCCGTCCTTGAGCTCCACCAGCGAGGGGCTCGGGTTCTCCCCCCTTTCAGCGAGGAAAGTGGTGTCGCCCCGCAGGTTGTTCATAAGCCTTCCTCCAATCCTGACGCGGTGTCCTCCCTCATAGAACCCAGCTTCTCTGATGTTTGCTCAGTGTGCAGATGGAGTGAGTCTGCTGAGAGGGGATCACCCTGGGACACCCCTTTCCCGATGCTAAGCCACTAGCTTCCCCGTATTCCCACAGGAGTGATCATCTCTTGGGCCACGTGCAGGGTCCACAGGAGCCCGGGAAGTGTCCTGGAATTCCCACTCTGCTCACGGTTCTCCACCCTGTGCTCTGCTCCACGCGCTCAAATGTCTCTGCAGGCGAATCAAACACCAGTCCACACCTCGGTGGTGCGTTCCTGCTTGGGGCTCAGATCGGCGCGACGCCTGCATCAGCCGCGATGCCCCAGGTCCTTTTCTCAAGGGCTCGCCCCTCCGGCAGCTCCGGGCGACGGGCGGCTGCCGCTGTTGCGTGGTCTTCAGCCACAGTGTCCTCGCCCGGGACATCAACGGTGCTCTCCGATCATGCCTGCGCCTTGTTAGGTTCCCTCTCTCTGGAACGGGCACAGATGTGGGCGGCTTCCCGTTGGCGGTCCAGCCAATTGTCCGTTCGTGTGTAATCCGTGATTCCGGGCAAGTCGCCAAGCACTGGCACCGGGGTTCCTAGTCACAGGCGCACGGTGCCCTTCCTCCAAACCAGACCTGCCCCAACACCTCCCTGCCTCGGGTGGATGGCCACAGGCAGGTTCTCTCAGCAACATGTTGGTCTAAGTCTTTTAGAAAGGCCTCATCAAAACAGAGGCCTGGGGGTGGGGGGAGGGACATTTACGAGGCCAGAGAAACTCAGGGCAGAGAGGTCAGCTCCGAAGGTGATAGGCGTGTTTGGGGTGTGGGGAGGGGACTCCAAAGGGCTCATCTTCATCGATCGCCTTGCAGGTCTCTGGATGGTCATAAGGGCTGACCTCGTGGGAAAGTCCCAGGGAAACGGAAAGCGCGTCAGCAAAAAGCACAAACCCATTGTCATGGAGTCCACTGCCGCTCTGGCGACCCCGGCAAGAGTCACGACGGCAGGTGGCCTCACCGTCCCCCGTGGACCAGCTGGCGGGCTTGAACCACTGACCTTGTGGCAAGCAGCCCAAGGCTGGAGCTGCACATGGGTGAGAAAGAGGCCATGGGCCGATAAACACCACAAGGTCCCTTGTCACGCTACGACTTCAGCCAGTGATGTATCCCCACCTCCACCCCCAAACTCAGAGAACATGGAACAGGAATCGCATTGGAGTCCCTGGAGGGAGCTCCAAGGGCCGCTCGGAGGACGCAGACTTCCTCAGGGATGGGGTGGGGTGGGGTGGGGGTGCACACCCTGTGCGGCACAAGAGCAGCACGGGAGCCACGTGACGTACAGTCGCGCACTCTGATAGTCTTACAGCTCCGCGTCAAGGAGACCCCAGGTCCTCACAACTGGACCAATAGGCTAACCACAAATGGAGGGATGGGGGCGGGGAGGGGGGGACGAAGTTATCAGGGATTTCCTCTTGTCTCGGATCCGCAATCAACGCTCCTGGAAGCAGCAGGCAAGAAACCAAACACGTTGCACTGCGCACATTCACCGCCCAAGACCTCTTTAAATGATCAGAGAGCAAGGATGTCACTTTGAGGACTCAGGGCCACCTGACTCAAGCCCTGGTGTTCTCCACTGCCGCCTCTGCACGGGGTGTTGGACCCTGAACAAGGAGAGCTGAAGTGTGTGGATACTGGAAGTGCCGCGAGCTGTCGGAAAAACAAAACAAACCCCTAGCCAGATCCTTCTTGGAAAGTACAGCCAGACGGCTGCTGCTTAGACGCGAGACCTCATTCCATGGACGCCGGACATGGGATCGGGAGAGACCAGTCTTCAGAAATGGACACCATGTTTGGAAAAATAGAGGGGCAGCGGACAAGAGGAAGACCTTGACCCAGTGAGCTGAGATGTTGGACGCAGCGGCTGCAACAGGGGCTCCAACATAGCAACGATCGTGCGGACAGTGCTTGGCTGGACGGCGAACGCGGGGTCACTGTGAGTCAGGACCAGGTCGCGGCGGCAGCAGCAAGGGCAGCGTCTATGAGCACGGACTGTGGAGCCAAGTCAAATGAAATCCTGGACAACTTCGGTCTTCTCTCCCTGAATCATGACGCTGTGGTGAGAACGGCCATCGTAGATCGCCACAGGAGCAGCTAGCCCCCATCCTTCTCCTGCGCAGCACCTGGTGGGTTTGAGTCCCCATCTTGCAGTTAGTGGTCTTGACATTTACCAAACCGCACCACCTGGGCTCCCTCGCAAGGAAGAGTGAGGAACAGGAAAGGCTCACGTCAATAAATAGTCCAGGGGCCTAATGGTCTCTCTGAACCTTCGCTCACAGGTCCTGGAGGCCAGACCTCAATGGTGTGCAGCGGCCACTACCAAGTGCTCTGAAAGGGATCCCATCAGACAGTCCTGTACAGACTGACAGACATGTGGAGCAAAACTCAAAACCACACAAACACGGCCAAGCGCCTAGGTCGGATGAAACGGGGGTGGGAAGTCTCTGACCATGGCCGCTTGTCACCTTTCAAGCTTATACCTGAACTCCCTCAATGACTCTACTTGCAGTGGACCACTAGACAGACCTGTGAGGTGAATGAACCATGACACCTGCTAGGCACACACTCCCCGAACCAGCCAGGCGTCGGCATTTCCCTGGATGAAGCTCAGGAGACAGGAAGTGTGGATGGAGATGGCAGCCACGGGGCAGAGCAGGAAGAGTGTGGCCACACGCCGTGGCGATTGTGGCAATGTTACTGAGCAAAATGCACGTGGGCTGCTGAATGGACACCAAGCTGCTCTGCAAACGTCCGCTTAGGTAATAGCAAGAAGAAAACACAACAGAGGAAACTGGGAAGGGGGGAGGCAGCAGCAAAAACCCAACCCACCCACCCATCAACCCACCCACTCACCATCTCACCCACCCACCCACCAACCCACCCACATGCACCACCAACCCACCATCCCACCCACCCCACAACCAACCCAACTCACCCACCCACCATCACCACCCAGTCACCAACAAACCCCCCAACAGCCACCCCACCCACCCAAACATCCCACCCACCTAACCAACAACTCACCCACCAATCATCCCACCCACTCACCATCTCACCCACCCACCCACCAACCCACCCACATGCACCACCAACCCACCATCCCACCCACCCCACAACCAACCCAACTCACCCACCCACCATCACCACCCAGTCACCAACAAACCCCCCAACAGCCACCCCACCCACCCAAACATCCCACCCACCTAACCAACAACTCACCCACCAATCATCCCACCCACCAACTAATCTACCAACCCAACCCACTCAGCCACTGCCACCCACTCACCAGCATCCCACCCACCAATCCACCCACCCATGAACTATCCCACCAACCAAATCACCAACCATTCTACTTACCCACTCACCTACCCACCATTTAATTTACCAATCACCCCACCCACCAACCCACCCAGTTCCCCAAAGGAAGTATGTCCACAAGTACAGGGGTAAGGAATGACAGCACAGAATCTTGGAAGAGATAATCCATTCAAGACAACCCCAAACCTCTGTTTCCTGACTCAGACTCATGCCAACAAGTGCCTTCAGTTCTGCAAACCGGCTTCCTTCCCCCAAGGCCTTGAGGGAGCACCGCGTACATGGCATCAGAGGTGCCCGTTGTTGGAAACTGCTCTGCGTGCCCAAACACACGACAGCAGGTGATCCACAATGGCCACATGGCGGGGAGGTTTCAGGGATCACAATTTGGGGTGCAGTCTGCAGTCCTAATCAACTCGACTCCAACAGTGAGCAGCGCGTATTTCCCCTTGTCTAACAGAATGTGCAAGCCCACTCCCGTGAGCTGGTGGGGCGGACTCTGATTCCACGATAGACCAGATGGTCTTTTTCCACACCTACGATTTCCTGAGAGATGGTGACAGCTGAATTTGCATGACGTATCCACAAACGGTATCTGCAAAATGTGTGTGTTGATGTGGCTTAAATAAGCGGAATTCTTTCGTCCAGTTGTGTTGGAAAGAGTCAAAGCATTCACTTCCCCTCCCCCATGAACAGAGCCTGCGCTCCATCCATTTTTGCTGAGTGCATGGATGAAGAGCGAGTGGAAGGTGGAGGGATGGATGGGCGAAGGCTGGATGGTTCAGGTGGATGGAGGGATAGGTGAATGGCAGGTGGGTAGAAGGTTGGACAGATGGAAGAAGGGATGGATGGACGGATGCAAGGGGGTGGGTTGAGGGACGGGTGGCGGGGTGAGGATGGGTGGAGGATTGCAGTGAGGAGGTGGCTGCATAGTGGGGTGGGTAGGAGGTAAATGGAGAGGTAGGTGGAGAGATGCATGGGTGGGTGGGTGGAGGGGTCTGTGGGGCCATGGAGGAGGCGGCACCGATGGCAGGCAGCGTGGTCCCCAGCCTCCTGTGGAAGGTCTCCGAGGGACAGCATGAAGCGAGTCTCTGGGCTCCTGGTGGTGAAATGAGGCCCCCACAGGACATGGACACGTTGATGAGAAGTACCACAGCCACTACAGATAATGCCCTGGGCTCTAGGGAGACCCAGCTGAGGCCCTGAGCAGGAACACGGGGGCTGTAGGGTCGTGGGTGACTCTTTAGCAGGATGGTGTGGAATGGAGCCGGCTGAAGCTTGGATGGCTGTGTGTGTCTCTCTCCACCCTCAAGCGAGGGCCATTACCCCCAACACGAGCTCTGTCCAGACCAATCCCGGAGCGGTGAGTCCAGCTGAAGCCAGCCCCTCAGACTGGGACTGTCCTGCACTGCTGCCCCTTGTCCATGTCATCCGTCCAAGGCAAGAGCAACACCACTCAGCTGGATCGTGACAGGAACCGGACGCTGCAGGCAGATCTGGGATCACATGCTGGCTCTGTCCACCACGGGGCCTCGGGCAGGCCGGTTAAGCTCCGAGGCAGAGACACTCAGCGTAGGGCCTGGACTGCAGAGAGGGCTGGCCACCACCCTCTCCACCCCCACTGCCAACACCACCGGGTTTGCAGGACAAGCCCTGGTCCCCAGTGGCCACTTTGGGGCAGGCAGGCTCTGAGGGTGCTGAGGAATATGCCCTGGGACTGCAGCTGGGTGTGTGCGCATGTGCGTATCTGCTGAGTCAGCCGCACCCGTGTGATTTTAGATGCTGCTGCATGGGACCCCGAGCCCTCCCCACTGTCATCTACCCACTCAGGGCAGTATGTGCAAAGACGGCTGAGGGTTCTGGGCCAGCGAGCAGAGGAGGCCCGACCTTCAACCTCCCACTCCAGAATGATCTTGCGTCCTCTGCTGTGAGCACAGCCGCTTCCTCATGCAACCAGCTCAGGTCTTTAACGGCTGTGGCAACCACAGGGATTCCTGGATGCAGTGCTTAGCCTTAGAGCATCGGGCTGTGGACCACGAGGCCAGTGGTTCAAACCCACCCCCAGCTCTGTGGGAGAGAGCCACGCAGCTGACTTCCGGAAAGATGGCAATCCTGGAAGCACTCCGGGCCACTCCACTGCTGTGGCTTTTGCCTGTTTATAGGGAACAGTGGAGAGACCCACCTCTGAGTCGATTTGGACTCCCAGGGACTCCGTCGGACAGAGCAGAACTGCTCATGAGGGTCTCCAAGGCTGTCAAGGTCTACAGGAAGAGCCTCGTGGAGCCACCGACCCTGTGGTGAGCAGCCCAATGCTCAACCCACTGTGCCACCAGGGATCCGTTAACCACAGGTGCCTATTTTAGTAAGTCATTTTCAATTTCTGCCGCAACACTGCACACGCATTTTAGTCACTTCCACGTCACCCCTCAGTGTCACCAGGTGTGGTCCCCACATCCTCCCAGCTTGGGGATTCTCCTGGTCTGGAGGACAAACATGGCGGATCCAGGGCCAGGCCCAGCAGGCCGGTGGTGCTAGGAAGCGGGCTGGGCAGGTACTCTGGGTTGGGGAGGAGCACCAGGCAGGCGGACTGGCAGGGGCTGGGGTCCCAAGGCCATGAGCACTAGGCTTCTCTGAATCAAGGTGTCTGTGTCCTGGAGTGTCCCTTAGGAGTGGGGGTGGGGGGCAGGGGAGAGGCTGGTGAAGGGGTGGGCTACACTCCGGGGAGGTGGGAGTCACCAGGGCTCCGTTTGCGCTGGGGTGTGACAGTGTCAAGTTTGTCGGAGCCCCTCGCTGGTTGCACAGGACACAGTGATGGGGGATGGGGTGGGGGTGGGGTGAGGGCCGTTAGAAAGACCCAGAGAGAAGCCCCTACGGGTGGACTGCTGGGGGCGGAGGTGGGTGAGACAGACGGAGAGAGGTCACTTGGCGTTGATCCCTGCTGTCTGTGAGCCTGGCCAGGCAAAGGTTCTCTGGGGTTACGAACGGCCCCTCGTCCAAAGCCCCATTCCAGTAGGCTTCCCTCCTCCACCTGCCCTTCATAGCACCCACTTCTCTTCACCATCCCCAAGGACAGAGCCACTGCCCTGAGTCCATTCTGACTCCATTGACCTCAGGGGACAGTAGAACTGCTCCCGTGGGATCCGAGAATGTCTCTCTTGATGGGAGCAGACAGTCTCATCTTACCCCCCAAGGAACCGCTGGTGGATTTGAATTCCAGCCTTGCCGCAATCCACCAGGGCTCAGCCTCAATCTGTGGATGTCAACTGGAGCCCCAGTTCTCCAGGGAACCAGGCATGCCCCTACTACCTGCCAGCTGCCTGCCTGTGACCCCCCCATTCCATCCACTGGGGCACGCGGCTGGTTTCCTCGGCTCCCCTCGGGGAGGGGTCTCCCTAGGCTCCTCTGGGCTGTGGCTTGGAGCAGACACCCCCGCCCCCTCCCCTCCAAAAATCCAGCCATGGCTCCAGCGCCTGGAGCAGCACTCCTCCCTGCCCAAGCGCCGATTCCAGCGGCAGCCCTTTCAAAATCACGAGGCGGTGGCCTTGCCCTCTGCGCCCACCTGGCGGCAGCAGAGGAACGCCTGCACTGGCGGTGTGGAGGCTCCCAGGGTCTCCGCTGGTCTCGCCTTCCGGGTGGGTTCCCGGCTTGGCCTGCAGAGCACGGTGGTGTGGACTGAGGTCCTTTTCTGAGGGGTGAGACCAGCCACTAAGGTGAGGGGCTGGGGAGGGCGAGGGGGCTGTGCTGGGCGAAGCCCCTGCATCCCCTGATAAGCAATGCTGCCGGGTGGGTGAGGGTCTCCGGATGGCAGAGGTAGCTGCACCAAGCAGAAGCTGGGGGGCTGCAGGCCTGGGGAGGGGTCCCCTGGGAGCTGCTGGGGGCTTCCATCTGTTGCTGCTACATGCGATCCTCCCAGGCGAGGACAGCTCGACCCCCGTGGGGAGACCTCTAGCCCTGGTATTTTCCAAAGAAAGGACCACCGTGGGCGCGGTGGGTGGGCTCACCTGGCCCCCAGCGAGGCTGGGGCGTGCCTGCGCGTCAGTCCTGTCCCCATTTCTTTACACGGCTGCGCTGGCCCACGCGTCCTCCTCTAGCTGAGAGTGGCAGGGCTGAGTCCCGGCAGAGGTGCCCATAGGTGTTCCCTGGCCCTGGCGGTAGGCAGGGAAGCCAGGCGAGAGGGGCTTTCCCCCGGCGTGGGCTGAGCGGTCCTGCCAGGCAAACAGGCCCAGTGGTGGGGTTCTGCCTACAGACCCTCAGGGTCACCCAGACAACTGCGGGGGGCCCCAGTTCTTTTTGTCCTCGAAGCCCCTCCCACTGCCA